CTGACCTACAGATATCGTACTGGAAATAGTTTCCTACCGGAAAACAGTTGCAAGACAGCGACTGAAACAAGTTTGAAGCTTTGGCACTCGTAGCAGAAACCGGCTTCTGGGAAGGGCTCCGAGAGTGGCAATAAGCACTAGGGGGCACTTGAGAATCACACTAGATTCTCATTTTAGTGCCAACAATGCTAAATCCAAACAGCAGTATACAGCAACCGAGCGAAAAAATGAGGAAACCGGTTATACGCCTCTTCAAAAGCTGTAACGAGACCTTCAGTATATCTACACAGAAGGCAAAACTTACTGCCGGTAATGATGGGACGGTAGCGGTCAAGGTCATAACTACTGCGAATAGTACAATGACCACAAGTGCTTTAGCAAGAGTGATGCAATTACAGCAACAAAACACGGTTGCGAAGGAAAAGGTTCGAGTACATTGAGCCGCACCAAGCCCAAGTTGTCTTAGATACAGTAGTAGTGAGCATGGGAACCGGGTAAGCTAAGAAACCTTTGTGGTTGGCACGCTGCCCGTGAAAAATATGAGATACAGGAATCCCAACCCATCTGGTGAGACTAGGTAGGTAATCAGAGGGGATAATTCAGCACTCCAATTGTGCTTTGGGAATATCTCCGTGACCGAAAGCGGCATCTCATGGCAGGTCCAGGAACCCATAAGATTGGAAAATGGCAAAGCGAAACACGTAATACAACCTTAGGTACTCCACACGAGGATCCAAGAAGTAAAATTTCAAAGGAACTTTTCCTTATATATGTTCGGGATCCAGGCCAAGGTTGAGTGACGCGCCAAGCCAAAAGACAGAATCGAACTAAGTACGATTGATTTACTAGCGTCCAATAAAGGCGGTACTGCATGTACATAATGGTTACATTACAATCACAGGTACAAACCTCAATTCGTGGCGTTCTCACAGAGAGTTCACCGAACAGTCAATCAATCTAGGCTGATACAAATAACAGTTACTAGGGCCAATCGAACGGACAAAACCTTCGGTGGCCGAACAAAGCAAAACTGGTCGGAAGAAGCATAGACACCGCTTGGTAAGAGTAGACACGTGACCGACTGTCATGAGGACTGTCCAATGACAGTCGGGGCACAAGGTCACAAGGGTCATGTCACAATCAAATGAGGGAACATGTGCCGGAGAAGGTGCGTGTGTGCGTGAGAGAGAGACACGTGTGTGTGCATGCCTTTGGGGAGGCAATCGGAAAGTCACATGATCGAACATGAATTAGCAGTGGGTGCCGACATATGGGGGAGGAGGGATGACAAGTGGCTAAGAAATGGAGTCAAATGATCGAAACGCGGGTGCATAGACAAGCAAATGTGAAGATAAGCTACTGTGGATCAACGTCTAATCGATAAATGCGGTCAGTAAACGACAGAGAGCAAGGCAGACTGGGAACATTGGAAGGAACCGGTAAAACAGAATTAACACCACTCCCTCAAAGCCGGCACGGCTTTTGCTATGACTCCACTCGCTACATGCACCATCAGAACGGTCCCATACGAAAATGGTACTATTTACTCTTGCCACAATTGCAGAAACCGAACTGGATGGTGCTCCGCTCATGAGTGCGTATCCTATTGGTTGTCGGTCCCTTCTAGTAGACACAACTTCCGAATGCCTCGCAGAATATGTCTTTTCGGAGATCTCACGGTCGCCTGTCCTACCCGCCGATCTGATCTAAGTTTAACCTCCGTTAAGACACCTTTTGACCATGTCCCACGAGGTCGATTCTCATTTAGTATAAGAACCAAATCTCCTGTTTCTACGCGCTTGTCTCCATTTGTTCCGAGTATTCAACAAGGGCAGGAAGTCCGCTGTCCAGCGTCGCCAAAACGTGTCTACGAGGAGCTGGCTCTGCCTCCACTGACGATTATACCGATCGCGTAGGTCCACTTCGGTTTCGATGATATCGTTTTGTTCCCTCAGTAGCAGGAAGCAGCTAGGCGAAAGAGCTCTCGGGTTGTCGGGGTCATTGTATACAGGTACTAGAGGATGGTTATTCAGGATGCGTTTGACTTCCGTTAGGATCAAGGTGATCAAGGACTCTTCGGTCAAAATCTGCTCCCGTGAAACGGCACTAAGAATCCTTCTGACGGGCCGTATCATTTGCTCCCATAAACTTCATCTGTGACTCGCATAGGGTGGAGTAAAACACCATTCAATCTCCCGGGTCAGCATATTATCTTCTATTTTGCCCTTCTCTAACTCTCTTACAAATTTGCGCATTTCCAGCTCTACCCAACGAACGTCTAACCGCGATTGCTGTGTACCCGTTTAGGACATTCTCTTCTAGCAGCAAATCGGAAGAATACCATAAGAAACGATTCTATGGTAAGCCAGTGCCCCACTTCAACATGCACCGCTCTAGTCTTAAAACATGAAGATACGCAGCCATAACGTTTCCGAGTCACCCGTCTATCACGAATGTGGAATGGTCCAAAATAATCTATTCCGGTGACAGGGAAAGGAAATTCTGGTTCAGTATGCTCTTCATGNCTTCATGCAAGGTCGACATGATTTGCTCTATGGGCTTAGCTGATCTTTCCTTGCAACCAATTCATTGCGAAATTATGCGTCTTACTGCCGAGACACCCCTAATGATCCAAAATTTCTCACGAGTTGCTGATAACACATGCATGAATCCTATGTGCCCTTCGCGCAAATTATAATGACGCACAATCAGATCCGTAATTGGATGTCGACTGGGTAGAATTGCCAGATGTTTTCTATCTTGCAATATATCAAAGTTGTTCAAACGCCCTCCTACTGTTAAGAGTTCATCTTTCATCACCGTACACAGATTGTGCATGGAAGAACGCCTCAATATACACGTCCCAACACCGTTTGCGTGTCTCAGTAAACCGTTAAATACATCGGAAAATGCCTGCCGCTGGACGTAGCGCAATAGTGCCGACTCGGCGACTTCCAACTCACGTACCTTCAAACTTCCATCTAACCAGGTCTTTGAGCTTGAAACGTGTACCTCCAATAGAATAAATCTTTGGAAGTGCATCAACCATGCGCAGGCACGCTTGAGTTTCGTTCATGACGAATAGTAAGAAATTAACTTGTCCAAGGGGTGGATCGCAGACGTAGTAGTTATGACAGTCGCTTGTACTTTGGTCTCGATATAAGACGAATCATCCGCAGTCTACTGCTTCTCCGACAGAGGCCAGTGAGCGATTGATGTTCGCAAAAAATTGGGACCTTGCAACCATCTACGGAGATTGATGCTATCTCTCCCGTTGATTCCCCTAAATGCCAAGTCTGCGGAATTTTCATCGGTGGGCAAATATCTCCACTGGTCTACCTTCGTGTTTTCATTTATGAACTGTACGCGAGTAGCCACGAAGGTCTTAAATCGAGATTGCGTATTCCGAATGTAATGCAATAAGATCATGGAATCTGTACAAAGTTAGGTGCTGTTGAATCGTAAATCCGCTTCCTTCTTAATGTATTGTAAGATCTTAACTGAGAGCACAGCAGCTTGTAACTCTAAGCGCGGGATCGTAACTGGCTTCAAGGGTGCAACTCTAGACTTTCCCATAACGAAGAAGCAGCAAGCGGAATCCTCTCCAGAAACATGCTTGAGATATGCAACTGACCCCTACCCGACTCGGATGCGTCAGAAAACAGATGCAATACTGAAGCAGTATTGCCACATTTGATGTGCTTAAGACAACCCGGCACTGACAGAGTTTAAACTGTTGCCAATTCTGACTTCCACTTCTCACAGAGAGATTTGAGAGATTGGTCAACTGATTCATCCCAGCCGCGGTTGCTTTGGCATAGTTATTATAGCATACATTTTTGCCGGAGAAGTAAGGATGCAATAAACCCCAGTGGATCATACAGCGAAGCAGTGCGGGAAAGAATACCTCTTCTAGTAGCCGGATGATTAGGAAAATGAACCTTAAATGTAAAGCAATCGTTCTTTATGCACCAATACAAACCGAGCGTTTTTGAATTCAGTACAGTCGCATTGTTGCAAACCCGTTTGTGAAGTCGAAATCCCCCACGCATTAGAAGACTCTGGAGCTGTTTCACTAGCATTATGGATTCACTCACATTTTCAGTGGATACCAAGCAGTCATAAACATAGAAGTTGCGTTCGATGAATTTTACTGTTTTAATGTCAAAATACTTGCGATGATCGTGTGCAACTTGCTTTAGGGGGAATGGGGCACAAAACGGGGAAGAAGTTGCTCCGAAAGGGTGCACGTTTTGGCGATGCACGGAGATTCCCAGAAGGGTACCAAAGAAAGCTCATCAAAGCCTTATCCTCAGGAGCTAAACGCACTTGCAAAACCATTTCTTCTATATCTGCCGCAAAAGTGATTTGGAGTAACCGAAATCGCATAAGTACACCCGTTAAATTGCTTGTTAGCACTGGCCCGGAGTAGAGACAATCATTTACAGAAGGGCCTCCATACTTCGCTGCAAAGTCGAACACAATTCTAACCTTATCCGGCCTTTGAGAACTCAGCACCGAGTTATGTGGAACGAAACATACCTCGTTTGACTGATGCTCCAGAACCCTGCTAATGTAGCCCCTTTTCTCGTAAGTTTCCATTATATCGGTGTATTTACACAACAGGGTAGACAAAGTTGATAATTATTCTTTACGACAGTTACGGAACTTCTAACGGCTTCTGGGGCCAACTTGTCCCGCTGAGAGTTCGCCAAATCACTCCCTTTGTTATGCTTACCGAATTCCATTTCAAAGATTTTGGTGATTTGTGACTGCATCGACTCCTCCATAGCTAGACAGTTGACTGATTTTGCTGAAGACCAATCCCCTCTCGCGGGCTCGAGCAGCACCCATCCTAGAACGGTTTTCAATGCTAACGGTTTTCGAGAATTTCCGACACGTTGATCTTGCACCCAGTGTGCTTCCGGAGTGTTCGTGCCAATCAGCAGATCAACAGGTTTATTTTGGATATTTTGGAAATGTATGCCCTCCAAATGAGGCTAGCAATTCATAGTTTCGTGTGGGTTATAAGCTGCTTGAATCGGTAGTGACTCGAGCGTGTAGGCCTTCTCCACTTGCAGCTGGTGCTCGCTATCTAAAGACTGAACCGCAAAGTTTACCTCCGAGGTTGTCTTACAAGTGGCTCCGGCTAGCGAAGTGGCTCGGATTCGCGTAACTAGACCTTCAATACCCAAAGTCTCGGCGGCCGCACAGGACAAGAGGGTGAAATCTGAGCCACTGTCGAGAAAGGCGTAAACTTCTTTCGACCCCTTTGGTCCGATCAACCTGACGGGTAAAAATCCCGTAAAGATATGCGGGACGTCTAACGTCACTGAATTTACATTGGTGTGCACTGACGTATTGGGAGATCTGGGCATATGGAGTAAGACGTGGTGACGGCCATTTCAATCAGGATCGGTGCAGCAACTCTTTGTATCACAAAGGCTAGCTTGGTGGCCTAGCCAAAAACATTTAAAGCATGCTGTTGCTGTTCTAGCCACATTCAACCTTTCTTCGTAACACAGACAGGAGCTTGTCACAACTCCAGACCGTGCTCGGCATGACAGATTGCACATCTCTCATCGAAGCGACTATCTATCGTGTTTATTCTTCTCCTCGGTCTATAAACGCGTTGCACATCTTCTTCCCGCCTCCACGGAGATGTGATCGTAGAAGTCACTCCTTGGCCATAACAGTAAGTGGAGGTCGAAAGACTTTCCTCAAGAATACGACTAGGTGTCTAAACAGAGGTCTGAATCCGTCTCGCCATTTTTTCAGAGCCACTTCGGCCCACTTCAACTATATGAACTCGGGGAGGTGCCTAACAATACCTTTTATTGTAGTCAGCCAGTTAAGGATTGACTCGTAACCCATTTTTGCTAGGGAAATCTCGCTGTTGACCACCTGCCGTACAAGCTTTCGTATACCTTTGACGTCACTTGCTTTGAGTCTACTTCCACTGCACACTTCATCCAGGAGACCTTCAGCGACATCATCCAGACATCCGAATTGGATTTCCAAAATATGTATCTCCCGCGAGTATTCTTCTGACATGGGCAATAACACATACTCCTCAATGGCTTCTCTGGCTTCGCCGACACAGAAATGTATCAAACAACATAATCGCTCTCTATCGTTGAGTGAGTGGCCAGCTACGTCCGCCTTGAAGCTACTAAGGAACTTCCATAAACGTTTCGGGGTTCCATCGAACTTAGCTATCTCGACATCCAGTAGCCTGAATTGGCGTTGTGTGATTACTTTTGGGAAAAGGGTCTGATTCACATCGACTGAAGCGGCTGATTGATATCCTTCGAGGCACGTTCGGACGGAATCAAAAGTGTTTTCCTCCGTGACCTCGACTTGCATCTGTGCTTCTGCTTCTTCATCACTAGTCTGCTGGCCGCCTAATTCTATTCGCCTTTTTAAGGATAGTTGCCAGTGTATTTCATGCTGAATTTTCGAAAATCCTTCCGAACCCTTAATGATTTATGATGAAATAACTTTATCTGTGTGTTGCTCCTATATTGACATTTCTTGATCACAAACACCTTACATCATTATTTGTCTGTTAATTCGATGCCCGGCACATTTGAATT